AGAAGCCCCCCCGGGGGGGGGGGGGGGGGGGGGGGGGTGGCCAGGAAGAAGGACACAGCGCTTGGCCATGGATTCCCAGCCAGGAATCCCTTTCTATATCCCTGCCGCTTCTGCAGATAGCCAAGTGCCTCCCTTGGACTGCTGCTGGCCGCCTACGAGCAGGCACCTCAAAGATGGCATTTTCTCTGCAAGGAGCTTCCTGAGAAAGTAATTTCTACCCTCTGGCCAAAGCACGGTTGGGTTCCCCGTCGCGACAGCTTGCCCCAGGAACACACAGGTTCACAGAGCAACAGCCAGCACGCAGAGAAGCAATTGCGCTCGGGAACATAAATTTGCCAGGGTATTCCCAACACCTGCTGCACTCCAGAACCCTTTCACACTGTGCTTGAACCAATGCTGAGGACTTTTTTCCTGCTTACTGCCCCCAGTATTCCCTTATCACTATTGAGCAAAGAAACAGAAGCAGGAAAAGGAAACCGAGCCACAATGCTGGAAGAAAACAGAGAACCCACACACGAGCAAGTGGAGACAGTTAAAATAATAGTCAGGATGGAGCAACAGGTACATTTCGGAGAAGAACCTGAGGTGTTTTTTAATGCAAATTTACAACACAGAACGGCTTTCAGCCCATGCTTTCACAAAGCCAAAGGTACTGTAAAAGATTATAGATATTAATATATTGCCAAATGCCGACCTCCTCAACTTTGCATCAGCAACAGCGGCTTTGCTGTAAGATGTATACCAGATCCTGACATCAAATGAGCCATTCATGCAAGAGGGCATTTTACTGGTAGAGCAGAGCTGCACTTGCACAACAGGTTATAGTTATGGTAGGTCCTACATGAGGTATTACTGCTCCTTGCCCATTCACAGGTCCCTTCTTTTCCCTTTCCTTTCCCCACAGGAAATATCTCCCTGTGTGTTCTTGGCTGTCTAAATGAGATCTGTGTAAAACATCTTTCTCTAAAACCTGATCACTTCATTTCATAGATTGGTCAGAGGAAACCTGCAGTAGGAGAAGACAGGAAGGGGTAGGAAATTGAGTACAGGCTGGAGTAGCATCACTTAGCCCAGGCTGGTCCCCAGCGGAACCTTTCCTGTATCTGTTGCTCCCACTGTCACACCATGGCAGAGGTCTCCCTCAGATGGTCCCGTAGAACTCATATGAGCAGCCCCAACATCCAGGGAATGCTCTCCTGCCCATGAAAAGGGTTTGCCTCCACCTTGACTCAAAACGCAGACTCTGGTTACATACAGCCTTAACATAAAACTTGCCGATAGTGTAAACGACTCAGCTGTGAACTCACACAGGACAAGTCAGGTGTAACTACAGGCACAGAAAGATGATGGCTTGGAAAGGTATCTGGCAGAATTAACTATGATTTCTCCCAGACGTCTGCTATAGCCTCCCTCCATTCCGGCTGGAAATCTCCTCTCTGAGCAGATCCCCAATTAACAGGCAGGACTAGTCCTCCAAACCACTTCAGTACCCCACCAGCCAGCACTAGCAAAATCCTAATCTAACAAAGGACAGGCAAGTGGCCAAGGCATTCAGCAAAAACCCTGAGTATTTCCCTAAACCAGAAATTTAAATTCATGAGTAAAAGGTCACTTCTCTATCAGTCCCCAGGAAAGCAGCAAGGGTTCCTGGCAGTTCTCCGGTGTTTTAACAAACTCCTGGCAGTGTCAGCAGTCAACATGATTTAGTCAACACTGGAAGCTGTGCTGGCCTTTCAAACAAATTAATATAATGAGCGGATCGCATACACACATGCTGTACAGCGCTACATCTGTAAGCCGGGCAGGCTGTCTCAGTGCATGGGATTACATGCAAAATGCACAGAACAGGAGCAATTAGCTGCAGAAGGTTGGAGTGCCACCAGAGCTGTCAAGGATTTCTCACAAGTCAGGAAATGGCCTTTAAAGTCAGCAGGAGTGCTATAAAAAGAAGAGATGTCCCCGCTTTCTCCTTTTTATAAGGAACAGCAAAGCTGATGTCAACAATTTGATCCTTTCTACATTCACTCTTAATAATTATAGTGTAACTTTAAAAGATATCAACAATAGCACAGTTCACCTCTTAAGTCTTTACCATTCACTGCCTTGTTATTAAAAAATTGACCGCAAGCCTCTGCGTCTTACAAAAACACATGGCAAATGCTACTTAATTTTAGCTCTAGTTATTTCTGACTGCAAGGCTGAATCCCACCCCACAGAAGGCAGCAGCTGTTGTGACGCTAATCACGGGTTTCTGGATACGGTGCTTTCCTTCGCATTCAGCCAGCGCCAAGCTGGCTCCGCAGCACTGCCTGACCACAACTTTGACATGATGTACTTTCATCTCGTGATTAAACCCTTACTTTGGAAGCTATTAGATTGCTTTGTTACCCTTGGCTCCATTACAGATGATTTGTTCAAGTAACTTTGTCATCCTCTTTGGTCGGAGCACCACATAGACAGGAAATGTGCGATGACCGTGTAACTCGAACTGCACGGGAAGCTGTCTTCCTGCCCCCAGTGTCTTACTGCTTCCCGAGTTTCCTTGCTCTTCCCAGAGACAAACCCCTGGCCAGCTGCGCTTTTTCAGACAGTGACTCACCTGCCTGCAACTCATATCTTAAGAGTTCAGATAATCACATGCAAAATACAAAGTCCATACTCAAAACCATCTCTACCCCATTCAGACCAGTGACACGACCCTCATTCACTCCCACCTCAAGTGAGATGTGGCCATGGAACAAAACCCCTTGATGAAGCAGCCAACCCTTGCGTAAAAGATCAAGAATCTGCTGGAGCTCCCACCTCCCACGTGAGGTGTCAGACCAGAAGGCAACATGTCCCTGGTGGGTAAAGACCTTGCAGTGTCTATCTCTTAACCTGCTCCTCTGTTTGCCCATTATAGACCAACATACACTGAATTTCCACCTGACGCCTAAAACTCTTTCAGGACAAGTCATCTTCTAAACTGTAAACCTTCTACGAATGTTTAAAAAAAGTTTTACAAAAACTAGTATTTTCCAAGAAAACCTGTTGCACTGAAAGATTTCAAACCAGCCCCAAACGTAGTACATGCTGATACACTGAGATTCTTTGTCTCTTTTTCTAGAGACATCCACCACAAACAACTCACCAGTCTGCTACTGCATTACTAATTGCTTAACATTTACAAAAGGCTCCGAGATCTTTTGATAGAGACTGCAGGAGAAAGACAAAGCCTCCATTAATTATAATAGAGAATTATAATCACAGGCAGATCAAAGGCAAAGACTTTATCAAATCCACATAAAGGCACTGTATCAAGAGACTGTGTTCAAAGCAGAACTGTGGTAATAAAAGAAATTTATATGCCTCAGTAGGCAGACAAGGCACGCACAACAGCCTAGCTCTGTCACTTAAAGAAATGGAAATACCTAAAAGAATGAAAGAGCAAAGCTAAAGATAACTTTTAGGAAAGGGCTGTAATAATCCTTTTGTTAGGTTGCAAAGAGCAGGCCATGCTTGCTTATATAATGGATGTATTAAACTTACCAGATGAGTGGTCTATTCTGTGACTGCCAGAAAAAAAGATCTCCCCTTTTCTTTTGCCAGGGGTAAAATATGTATCTAGCATGGTAGCAGCACATCTAGCACTTGAGCCAGTGAGAAACATTTACGAGAAGCTGGAGTTTTGCTTTGTTTTGTTTATGAGGGTGAAATACTGCTTTCAGGTTTTCTCCCATGAAAATTCTTATCCTTCTATTGTTTGGCTTTTTTTAAAATTTTGGTGAAAAAAGACTATACATTTTTTGGTGGACAACACCTGTGTTGAGATTGCCAATAGTAACACAGAACAGGTACCCTGGCCAAGCCCTGCACGTGTACCAGCCCCCCTGAAAAGAGGAAGGGTGCGCTGAGGCAGAACGGGAACAGGCAGAGAAGCAGCAGCTTGGGAGAGAAGAGCACTGAACAGACCACAGCAGCCGCCAGCAGCTTTCAACATGACCAGCACTGGCAACCGAACACCAAATCAAACAAAATGAGAGTCTGTAATTACTAAGCAGACAGATCTTTAGCCAGTTACGTGGCTCACCAGTTCAGCAAGAAAGCTGAATCCTATGAAATTAAGTTGCTGTGTGCTGAAACAGTTTTCTGCTCCAGCTCCCTGCGGGGCCCTGCGAATGCAGCGCTGGTGCTGCTGAGGAGGAACAGGGATCCTGCCCTCACCCAGCCGCTGCCCGCGCTGGGCAACTCAACAGCCAGCAGAGCAGGGCTGGCTACCGCTGCTGCTGCGCTGCTGACGGAACTGAACAGATAGATCCCCCCCCAGGTATTAATCTGGCTCTGATAACAGCTGACAAAGCCAGAGTTCACCCGCAGCTGCCTGGGCAGAAATAGGGAGTGATAAAAGCCAAGATGAGCCCACAGTACCAACACAGAGCCCTCTGTATTTAACATTCAGGTCTTCTTTCCAGGATTGTACTGATCCCATCCAAGCCTCACAGCTACCAAAGCACCAAGCCAGAATTCATCTCAGCATTGGACTCCCTGGCTGTTTTAGTCCCTTTCTGCTCAGCTCATGCAACAGGTCTAACACCCACTTAGTAAATACTTAAATAAGAATCCTTCAAAATACGTTCTGCAAGGCAGAAAAGCAAGATGCAGACTTTGACAGAAGCTGACAGAGAGCTAGAAAGCTAAAGCTAAAAGTCAAACTTGGGATTCATCATTTTTTCTGTAAGTCCCTGTTTCTTGTTTCTTTATTATTTTAAGCTTAACTTGTGTAGCTGTCTTTATCAGGCAGGCATCCATGCTGTCAGGAAAG